CACAAGTAGAATGTGAGTTCTGCAACAGCAGGGATCCCTCTCTGGTTAGTTTACTGCTGAATCCATGATGTCTAGAGAAGGCTCTTGCTCATAGGAGCTGCTCAATAAATAGCTGTGGAATGGATCAGTGAAAAGGTAAAAAAGCACAGCGCCAGACATGAAGTGTTTGGTGGCAATGGCAGTGCTCCTATTAATTCCTATTGGGAGAAAAGCCATTACCAAACTGTCTTCAAAGTCAGCGTGGCTGTTCTCAGGGCCTGCGCTTAGTGCCCAAGCTTCTGTTGCACTTTCCTGCCCACTTTTGTAGAACAGGGGCTGCCCCTTGCCTGTGCTAGAGACAAGGCAGCCACACATGAGAAACTGAATGGAGGAGAATTAGCAGCAGGATTCCCAGGACTCCTAAGAGTGCTAGAGGAACCGGAAGCAGCAGAAGCCCTTCTCAGGGAAACCAACCAGGACATCAAAGAGCACACCGGGGCCCACAGCTGCAGAGGAGGTTTCGGCAGCCTCGGCTTCAAAGGCCGGGATGGATGGTGGGAAGAACTGATCTTATCTGATCAGAACTGGGGTCTTTGAGTCACAGCCAGTGAGAGTTTGGAAAATGAAAGAAAGAGTAGAGGGCCTGATTTGCTTAATTAATCTGTGTGTTTGCGATGGCAGTAATGATGCTTAAATCTTTCATCTCCAAAGTGCCTTATGCCGTGAGCTCACATACAAACAGCACTCAGTCGTGTGTTGTGCATTATAAGACATGTGTTATTTTGATGGAAAAGACTCCACTGCCCAATAGCCTGCTGACTTGACATGTTCTAAAAGGAAAGTCTGGTATCAAAACATAAATCTAAACGGAAACCAAAATAGCAAACAGCAACATGCATTAATCAGACCCGTCTATTTGTACCAAAATCCACATTCCCTCAACTCCCTGGCCCCAGGCTATTGTTCTTTCTTGTTGCTGTTCGTTTCTTTTTTTCTTTTTCATCTTTCAATACATCCTTCCAAGATTCTCACAATGTACTTCAGAGTCCAGACTCTCTTATGGAAAGCATATGCCTTCAAGAACATACCGTTCACTTGATGTTCTGCAGCCAGTTTTATTTCTGGCCCAGGATTAAGTGAGAAACAACAATTGTTTGTAGGGCTGGAAGTAACTTTGGGTCAAGGAGCCAGTAAGAACCACACATAAAGCAAAGAAAGTTTCTAAAAGACCTCTAAGAAAAAAGTGTGTCTCCAGTTAAACTGTGGGTCTCATTCATTCATTCATTCATTTTATTTATGCAAAAATTGTTGAAAGTTTACCATAAACTAGGTCTATGCTCAGAGCCAAAAATTACCAAGGTAAATATGATCAGTCCCTACCCCCTAGTATCATACAGTCTAGAAGAGGAGACAGGCAGATATATCAAAGTTGCAGTCTAGTTTGACAAGGTCAAGGCAGGGTTGTCTGTCAGATTTAGGTCATGGGGCAGGAGTTGAGAGATGGTTAGGGAGCAGATGCTTTTTAAAGAGAGTAAGAGGGAAGGAAGTAAAGAAGAGACGGCGAGAGTACTTTACACAGAGGAAACTATGTATGTTACATTTAAAAATATGACACAGATGATATTTAAATTCTTTAATAACTGGAACATCATGGCACAGAGGCCAAAACCCACCAATGGTCCCACCCAATGCCTGTGGGCTGTAGATCTTTCCTACTGATATGGGAAATATCAGGATATAGGAAAGTGAAAAAAGCAAGGCACAATGTTGGGTGTTCTAAGTCAAATGTTAGTTATCCTGGGTGATGGAATGACAGGAGGTGCCATAAGAGGGTCTCCAGGGTCCCAGCTTCTGGTATCTTGATCTGGGTGCCAATCGCACAGGTCTGTATAGTTTGTGAAAATGAATTGATTTGAACACTTGTGATAAATGCTCTTTTCAGTACAAATGTTTAGCAAAGTGTCATATGTTTGACAAAATGTTCCAAAACACATAAATAAATATCCTGCAATTAGGCAAATCTCCATTGATAATGAATGGCTCCAGCAAATCGTGTGTCTGGAGGAGATAAAAATAGAGACATAGAGCAAAGTCATGTTCAAAGAGTCTTATGCACTGAATTAAGGAGTTTGAACTTTACCCTCAGGACTATGAGACACTATGGAAGGAATGAGAGCGTGAGTTGAAGCTGAGGGGTGTTAGATTGTGAGTTCCAGACTTTGGCTTCTGGTTCCAGAATTTAGTCACTGTGTCATTGTGTGTAAAGTTCAAGCTCTTCATCTGCAAAATACTCTATAAAGATTTTGTTTGCCTCCTAAGGGTGTTCTGAGAATTGAATAAGATAATACAAAAAAATGGTGTAGTGGGCACTATAGTCAGTAATAAATATTTGCACTTTATTTTTTTAATCCTCGCCCAAGGATATGTTTATTGATTTTAGAGAGAGAGAAAGGGAGAGAGGGAAAGGGAAACATCAATGTGAGAGAGAAACATCCATCAGTTGCCTCCTATATGCACCCCAACTGGGGATCAAACCTGCAACCTAGGTATGTGCCCTGATCAATATTCTAACCCACAGCCTTTTTGGCGTATGGGATGATGCCCCAACCAACTAAGCCACCAGGCCATGGCATAAATATTTGCATTTTAGAACGCGTCCTCAAGCAGGAGTGAGGAGAATGGATGGGGGGTGGCCAGACCAGGGATGGAGAGATGAATGAGAAGGCTGTGGCAGAAATGTAGTGAAGAAGGAATGAGAGCATGGCCGGGACAGGGGCAGTGTGAATCAAGGAGAGATCACTAAATTTGAGGGGGCAGAATTAACAGGATTTGATCTGGGAGATGAAAGAGACAGCGATTCTCAGGTATCTGGCTCAGGTGACTGTGACGGTGGAGATGCTGTTAAAAAGTCAAGAGGAGGAACAGACTAGGGGGAAGATCATGCATCAGATGTGAAACCTGTTGAGATTGGGGACCTGGGAAGCATCTAGGAACTCAACAGAGGTGTTTGACATAAAGACAGAAATTTGGGAAGGATATAAAACATCGTTGAAGGCGTATGAGTGGGTAAGGTCCTTCGGGGATGATATATCAAGTGAAAAGAGCAAGCGGCCAAAGACGGAGTCCTAAGCGACATCAATATTTAAAAGGGCAGACCCCCCACACGTGCTCGCAAAAAATGAAACTATGAAAAAATCTGAAAAGAAACAATTGGAAAGGTGAAGGGAAACCAGGAGAGTGCTATTGTGGTAGCCAAGAAGGATGCCATCGGCTGTAACAGATATCACAGAAATGACTGGTTAAATGACAGCAGTGTCCATTGGCTCCTACCTATGATGCCCATTGGTGACTCCAGTGAGAGCAACTCCAGGGAACACTGGGACAAAAGCAAGATTGTCATGAGTATATGGTACATGGATTAGAAGAAAGAAGTCCACAGGTGCAGTCAAGGGGACGGGGAGCTACAGGGCAGGAAGCTGGGAGGGGGGATGTTGTGGTGGTAAAGAGTGACTGCCTTTCTCCAAAGATCAGAGAGCTTCCTAACTTTTTTCAGTATTTATTCACCACCACCCATTTTGAAAGTTTAGAGATACAGCCCTGCTTCCTTCCCCCACTCCTTTTGTCCTCCCTCCCTCCTTCCCCCCTCCCTCCCTTCTTTTCCATACTGAATTTCCTCTCCAGAAGCGAAGGAGTAACTTATGTAACTTGAAACCCGTCATGTATGTTTTTTAAGTGTTTTTAAAATAAGATGTTGAAAAGTGCACATATTTGGGGAAGGTAGCCAGAAGAACCCAATTGCGAAAGGAGCTGGAGCAGGGGTTGGAGAAAGGAAAGGGCTTCCTGTCAGCCTGCTGCTGCCCCGCCCTGCTACCCTCAGCGGGCTTGTGCCTTGGAGAGTGCAGACCATGACTGCCCACGCCACCCCTCTCTAGAGTCAAGGCCTGTTCCTCCCACCTCGGGCTTCAGTGGCCCTGAGAGCTGGCAGCAGCACCCCTCCCGTAATGACCCCCTGCTCCTGCTCCCAGCCAGGCCTCTGGCCTCTCCACCCAGCTGGCGGCGGCTTGCCTCCAAAACTCAGCTCACAGCCCTTCTTCTCCTGCCACTCCACGGACCAACCCGGGCCTCCAGGTAGGGCTCAGAACTGACCGTCTTCAGGAACTCTGTCTTGTCCCCTTCAATTAGTCACTGAGTCAATGTGTTCTTCAGTTTGCATTTCCGAAGAGGTTACTGTGAGTCATTCTCATTTTAGTTTATAAAATACGTCATCTCAATGGTGGAATTATAAGACCCCAGGAGGAATTCCCCACAGCCTCTAGTGGAGCGCTCCATGTACAGTAAGTCCACAGCTGAGGCTGGTTTGCAGGACATAAACGTGTGATGTATACACTAGCCTGTAGGGTCCTCCAGTGTGGGCAACTGGTTTCTTTCAGCTTTTCACACCCTTCACCACCAGCTCCCTAGGGCTTTCACTCCTCATCAATTCCACAGATGTTTATTGAGCACCTACTTACTATGTGCCAGAAACTGCACTAGGTAAGCTGGAAATTCAGCTGGGAATGGCAGGCGAGGTCCTCATCTCGTGGAGTTTATGTTCTAGTAGAGGAGACAGCCAACAAGGAAGCAAACCAATAGGTAAAGCACAGGCGGTGCCAAGCCCGTCCTGGGGAATAAGCAGAGCCATGTAACGAAGAACGGGCACGTTTATGCTGAGAACTGAAGACTGAAAAGGAAGGAATAAGTTGCTCCTCTGTCTTCTCTCTATATTTAAAAGGCCCCACTCCTTGAATCTCTCTTTCAATAAAATGTTTATTTGAAGGGATGTAATTACGTGATATGTTATACATTTTCCTGGTCCATGGGTTCACCAACCACAGACACATCTGGTTGCTAACAAATCATGATTTCTCTGAGGGTCGTCCCTCTCACCTGCTTCGTGGGGCCAGCAGCCCCGGGGCCCCACAGACGTCAGACGGAGCGCAGCACTGACGCCTGGGTGAAGCTGGTGCTGGTTTGTTTTGCAGGTGAGCCGGCCTCATCCCAGCGACCACCCTCTCCTGATCCTCTTCGTGGTAGGCGGAGTCACAGTCTCTGAAGCCAAAATGATCAAGGACCTGGTGCCATCCCTGAAGCCAGGAACCCAGGTACAGAGTCTGTGGCGGTAGGAATGAGAGTCCCGGGCGGGGGCAGGAGGGGCGGGCAAGGGCCCTTCGTCGGGCTCCCCAGCGTTCCGGCCTCCGTCCGGCTTCTCCTCTCCCACCTGCTCCTTCCCAGATCTCATTCTCCTTCTGCCTCCCCCAGGCCAGCCGTCCTCCTGGTGGGGGTAAAAGGGGACTCTCCTTTTACAGTCCTCTCCTGTCTCTGGGCTGACATGCCATTGTCCCTATTCCCAGTTCCTGCATATGTTCTCCAGTGTCCAATCAGCACTAAATTCCTCAAGACTTCACTGCTTTCCAGACTCCAGATATTTGAGGGTAGCTCCCAGGGCCGCCTCCCCGCTGTGGCAGGCAGGGGACCTGGCTGGAGGAGCTGGGGAAGGTGCCTGGTCAAAACAATGACAAGTGTAGAATTTTTCTCCTCTGTAGCCTCCTGTTGGGTCCTACCTCACTCCCCAGATACGTGGCTTGGTGGTTAAGAACACAGACCTCTTGGTTTTACAGGCCTGCATTCAAACCTTACCTCTGACTTTTACTAGCCAGGTGATCCAGGAGAGAAAGGCCCTCGGTTTCCTCATTTAAGAAACAGGGCTGGGGTGGCTGTGAACCTTAAGTCAGGTAAGTGGAGAGAATGTGCTTCTTAGCACAGTGCCTGGTACATGACCCGCAATAAAGGGTGGCTACAGTTAGTATCAACCACTTCCGAGGGGTCACCCCCTGTTCTGCAGGAGGAGCTGAGGCTCCTGGCACAACGTTGCAGGAGACCAAGGAGAGAGGCTTCCGGGAAAGGAGAGCCGCTGCCTCAGGGGGCTCTGATCTGGTCGGGGAAGCGGAGCCTGTTACTCAGTAAGACGAAAAACCCGCTTTAGCGGGTTCACCTGAACAAACCCTGAGACGGAGATGGGAAGGCAGGTGGAAGGTGATCCCAGGAAGCAGAAGGAAGGGAGTCAGAAAAGAGAAACAGCAGAGAGAGAAAAACCAGGAAAATGCCTCACTGAGGCGGTGCTGCTGTTCGCCTTTGAGGCCCTGTCCTCGGGGTCTTCACAGCTCAGAATTATGCTGCTGGACAACAGGGAGTCCCGGACATCTTCTTACAAACTGTCTCCTCCCACCCCACCCCCCAGCTGTGACTGGCCTCCGGGGGCTTCTGTTCGGCTTTGTGCCACCTCTGCATACAGCTGAGCAGCTTTCTATGGTTTGGAGAAAGCAAAACAGAGAGGCGTGGCTGGTGCTTCAGGTGAGACGCTGGCTTGGGCAGGAAACTGTTCACAACTGCACAGAAACCAGGTGGGATGCCAGCCCAGGCCTGGCTGCTGGGGGTGCTGGTGTCTTTGTCTCCCAACTCAGCCCACTACTGAAATTTCACCAGCGAAGAGCACGACAGGTGACAGTAACAGCAGCCAGCCAAGTGTGCCCTCCTTCTTGCCTTCCGTGAAGTCCTACTTCTTGTGCCAGGCCTTTCCTGCATCTCTGGAGGCATCCAAAATCCGTACTGTGCTGTTCAGCACCAGGCTGCTTGCTCACTGCCTCCTACTTGGGCCGAGCAAACGTGAGCTCCCTGAGGACAAAGGCTGCGGGTCGCCTGGCCTGAGCACAGGGCAGGGGCTCCATAAGCCTTGTGGTCTGTGCCCCAAATGGCTGCAGAAGTGGTCCCTGCTGTTCTCCAGACACCCAGCTGAAAAATGGGACGCGGGCATCGAGGGAGCTACAGGAGATTCTTGAGCAGGGACGTGACCAGTTTTTGGCTGTGACCATTTCTGCTGTTACTCTCATCTGTCGTAGTTGTAGCTGGTGAAATTTCTGGGAACATGATAAATTCTGCCTCATTTGACAACCTCTCTGTCAGCAGTGCTAAGGATCTGTTTAATGAGCGATTGCCTTTTCGGCAAGACTTTTATTTTTTAATCAGAAAGCACACGTCTCTCTGCCCCTAACATGGCGAACCAAATTCTTAGCTCTTCAGAACAGTTCCACATTGTAACAGCCTGACAGACATGTTAATCCCCACTCTAAAGGGATAAAATGTGGGCGTTTTCAAAGCCGAGTGACCTGAGTCCGACGACAGAAGCTGGAATCCGCGGCGGCTTTGCAGCAATCTGACCTGGGCTCAGTCATCTGCAGAGGGAGCTCCTCACAGAATTATGGGCTTAAGAAGCAGCCTTGACTGCTCCTTGTCCTTTGCACAAAAAGTCCCCCGAAGAGTTAGCAGACCAGAGAGAGTTCAAGGAGTCCTCCCTCACCAGGCCCTTCGATCTGCACGCGTCTGAGAGGAGCTGGATGACCTGCGTGCATGCTGAGTGGCCCCCGCGGGGGCAGAGCTCCCTTTCTCAGAGCCCACAGACTCTCGGCAGCCCTGGCTCTGCAGCCCCCTCTGCCCCGGCCCAGGGCGCGAGCAGCCTCCTGCCTTCAGAAGCGCAGAGGGCGGGCCTTGCTGCTCTAGCTACGCAGAAGCCGGAGCCTCTCTATTCGCTGGAGCCTTCTCTGCGGAGACCCACCGCTGCTGGAGGATGTGTGTGAACTAAACCCAATCTGTGCACCAACAGACTCTCAGAGGCACCTCCGGCAACCAAGAGAATAACTCGGATTTGGTCGTCAATGTAAACAGTGATAATATACAAGTCTAATACTTCACTGCTTCCTTCGGTCTTTAATATCCAGCCTCCACACGAACATCTCCAGTGATAAGGATTTGTCCCTCCCACAGAAGCCTCCAGGAGTCTCCCAGGGCTTCACTGTGAGGACTGTTCTACATCTCCTCTCGATGAGTCCAAACCGGCCTCCTCAGACCTCCCATTCATCAGCGCAGGGCCTGGCTCTTGGGCAGCCTGGAACTTACAAGCACATCAGGCTCTTCCGTCTTCCACAGGTCCTCCCCCAGGTGTGCTGTTCTCCGAGCTGAGTTCCCTTGGTTTCTACAGCCGCCCTGCCCCAGCCCAGGACGGGGGTCGGGCTGCTCTCACCGGTGCGGTGGCTCTCCTCGCCCCGGTGTGTCCCTCTCTGCACTCCGTTGGGCCTGAGAGCCATGCCCTGGCGCAGCCTGCTCAGTGCAGAGGCAGCTGGGCCGTCCTCATCCCCGCCACGGCCTGCGGGGCGCCGCGGGGCCTCGCCCCCCGCCCTGCCTTCACTCCCTTCCAGCCTCAGGACTTTGCACTTTCTACTCTCCTATTCCCAGCAGCCCAAACAGCATCTGGCGCTGGGTGTCATGATTGTTCATTGGGAGTCAGATATCGAACACTAGAAACTTTCCCTGTATGACTGCAGCATAGACGCAAGTGACTTCTCTGGAGGCTACCCCAACTTGTGGATTCACACTGAGATTATGGACAACTGAAATCACTCTGTCCTTTGTATCAGTTGCTATTCACCCGTATCTTCTCTATTCGATACCTATGCGTGGACCCAAGTACAGGACATGACAGTCATCTCTGTTAGACTGGACCAGTGGATCATTCATTTGCTCTGTTTCAGGCATTGGCCTTTGTGCTAAAGGTGGAGCGGCGACCAAACCAGACATGTTCCCGCTTCGGGGAACTCACACTCGAACAGTGACTGGCTCACATGAAACACGAAAACTGCAGCCTGAGATGAGTGTGCCAAGAACGCACAGGTGCCGTGGTGGGAATAATAACTGGAAGAGAGGTTCCTTCAGGTGGCACGGGCGCCTCGTGGGGGAGAAGGCTGTGAGCTGAAATGAGAAAGGCATTCAGGGATCAGCCCTTCGAAGGAAGCTGATAGAATTCATTTAAAGCACATCGAGAAATGAGTTCTCTTTCACAAAAAGGAGCAAGGATCACCCGAAACGGTGGAGCTCAGAGACCACATTCACACCTGCTACTCCCCTAGGACTGTTACCATACTCCAAAATGGGACTGTTTTCTCCACTCTCGGCTGGGTTGGTGGTGGACGTGCTGACAAGGGAATGTGGGTAGTTGGAGAAGGCCCTCTTTCTTGAGTACAAAAAAAAAGGGAGCAAATAGGCAGCTCGCCCTGCACCCCCCACCCACACACACACAGCTCTGCAGGCTCCCTCGCTCCTCTGTCTTGCTCTCTCGCACCCAGCGTGGGCCTCCATGCCCACACAGCGCTGCAGGCTGAACTCTGCAGCTGGATGGTGGCCAGGAAGCCAGCAGAAGCCTGAGATTGTGGGAGGAAAATAACAGGGAGGGACCCTCCCAGAAAATACAGGGACAGACCAGCTCAGGAAATAGGAAGACCAAGCGGGTAACTTAACCGAGCCATCGCCTCTTTTCATAGGCACCTACACATCCATGTGGTACCACATTCTTGGGGCTAAATATTTGGTGAGAATGTAATGTTTTAAAAACTAGACCCAGAAATATGCTCATACACAATTTTGCATCATTTTAGGGATTCAAGGATATCTAAACCCTGGCCCTAAAACCTCGCTCCAGGTTAGTCTGAAGTTGATGAGAAGCCCCAGGAGAGGAGTCAAGTGACTTTTTTAAATTACTTTTTTTTCCATGATCATTTAGTCCCCTTATACCCTACCCTGTTATCAATGTCCAGGAGTCCTTTTTCCTTTTGCTCGATCCCTCCACCCTGTAACCCCTCCCGTAGCTGTCATCTGCTGTTAAAAAACAAACAAACAAACAAACAAAAACCTCAGATGGGACAACAGGGAGGAGAAGACCTGACACCTCCCCATCGGGGAGCTAGGAGGGCTCACCAAGCACAACACACGGACCTCAGACAGGAAAGCGGCTCCCAAGGAGGTTTCCAGGGGGCCCGGTCAGATGCATTTAGTAAATCCGCTATCCCACCGGTTTAATGAACAAGGCTTGTTGTTTGCCACAAGTGTGTGAGTGTGGGGGGCAGGGGCTAAGGGCTTGAACACGATACGTTCTCAAAACCAATTCATCAAATGGATGCAGATCATGTCAGTGCCTGTGCATACGTGGGGTGCTTTTCCTGGGAAGAATCTCCCAAGATTAAAAGAAAAAGGGAGAAAAATATTTTGTCCCTTGCTCCTTTCAAATCACAGTGTTAGAAATCAGGGGTTATTGACCCTAAATCCTGGACTGCCCGGCTTCCTCTGTGTTCTGCAGAAATGGAACCGGAAGGTGCAGGCACCTACAAATTACCGTGCCGGCCTGGGGCAGTGGGAAGTAGAAGCCAAGTGAGGGGGCGGGCTGCTCTCCCAGGGCTGCGGCTCTCGGGAGCGGGAGCGGGAGCTGGGGCAGGCTGGGGACACAGACGGCGCGCCCCTCTTCCAGCTGCGCCAGGGCCCTTCTGAGCCTCGGCTGCTTTATGGACTTGGTTCTGAGGCCCTCAGGGAACCCTGGGGTCCTCCACACCCCATCTCACAGGTGACGGTTTCCATCAGTGCCCTCGGTTGCCTGGGAAATGCCAGTTCTCTGAAAGGAATTCTCTAGCACTCAATCTGCCTAATACCACACATTTGATTACTGTGTTTATAAAATTTACATTTCCTGTCTCACGGGCCAGTTTCAGGCTCTCTTAAGCTTTTTCCTTATCATTTTTGAGATTTTTGAGTGCCTTTTTTTCCCCCCACTTGCCTTATTTTTTTTTTTTTAATTTAAAGGACTATTTTAGCCAAATAATGCAGAAATGCCATTAGTTGAACTGGACTTAAAAAAAAAACAACCCTCTGAAAATGCTGAAAAACAGTCTGAAAACCAGGAGATACGTAAGATATGACAATGCTTAAGGAACATCAATGGTTATATTATAAAAAAAAAAATGTTAGCAATACAATCCTGCTTGTTCTTCAAAACAGGAATTTTAGACAAATAATCTTTTAGTTGAATTAATTTGAAACAAATTTACCCAGAGCTGTCTGAGCTTTTACTAGAGAAACTTCCTGCTGATGATGCTAAACTCACTGTCTCCCTCATTGTCTTAGTGTTTTTTGTTCATTCACTTAATTATTTACCACCTCTTCACATCAAGGGCCTGATGTGGACCAAACCCTGTGCTAAGAAACAGTGAAAAGACTCAGTTAGGGAAACAGGGGTGACCGGGTGATGCCAACAGCCATGGGAACACAGTCCGGCTTGAGGGGTGTGGACGTCCAAGCGGCTTCCGGGAGGCGGTGATGCCCGAGCAGGCACAGAAGCCTTCATGCAAAGTATGAAGGAACTCATGTTCCAGCTAAAGAAGCATCTCCAAAGTCCCAGGTGTGAAGCTGAATGAGAGCTGAATGTGGTTGAGGGCGGCTAGAATGTGGACCTGAGGGTGAGCAGGTTGGCGGCAGGGGGCTGGCTGAGCAGCGCTGAGCAGCCCTGAGCAGCCCTCAGATTCTAAGACCCTAAAATGGCCTCTAGGGGCTTGGGCTTATCAAAGGGCGCAAGGAGGCAGTCAGGATGTACAGTCCCTGAGTAGGAGAATCACATTTACCTTGGGGAGATGGCTCCGCCTCCCTGCATCAGCCCCTGTGACGGCCAAGCAGAGGGGACACGGCAGAGGATGAAGGTGAGAAGAGCAGCTGCCATTTTAAGCTCCTCTAGAGCCTGTCACGATGCTAAATATTTTACATATATGTTCACATTTGATTCTCATAATAATTGTGTGAAGTGGATGTCACTATTTCCACTTCACAGATAAGGAAATTGAGTCTCGGAGTGATTAAGCAACTTCTCCAGAATCACCTGTCTGGCAAGTGGTCCAGCTGGGGTCCAACCCAGCACGGACATGCCTAAGCCTGTGCTTCTACCCGCGGTGCCATCCCATGGGAGTCCTTGGTCTCAGTGCCGCTGTCTCCCCTCCTCCCAGACCTCCTGCCTGACTTCACACGCTGCCTGTCTTTTCCATCTGTTTCTCTTCACGCTACACACAGCAGGCCCTACACCCCCTTGGTTCAGCCCACATGCTGTGTAACTACCTGCTTGTGTAGATGTGAGGGGCCTGGTCTTTGGTTCCCACTCAGTGGAGGCGGCCAAGCCTGGAGTCTCTGTCCGCGTGGCTGGAAGCCCAGCATACCCCCGGGAGTGGCGGATCCTTTCGGCTCAGGCATCACTGCTCCAGGAGGGTCAACGTCAACTGAGTCGCTAGCTTTCTCTCCAGGTCCCTCAAGCCTGCCAACAAGACTTCAGCATCCTGAGAGACGCTCTCCAGCCCTTACACTTGCCCTCAGCTCAGCCGGGGAAGAGTCTGCCATCTTGGCACTGGAACTAAGGACAACAGAGGCTGGCAGTGCTGGTGGGGACTGGCAAGACTCAAGGGCAGAAGAGGGGCCTCTGGCACTCTAACTACACTGGCCTCTAGCACCTCACAAGAGTCTGCTACCAAAGAGTGTGCCGAGAACTTTTGTCTTTATACACGCATTTTTAAAAAATATCTGAATAAGTGTTTCCTAACATGTGGTCTATGAATCCTAGCTGTCTACAAACATCACCTGAAACTATATTCAGAATCTTCTATGTATGAACAGATGCATATTTTTCTAGAGAGTTCTTAGCTTTCATAAGATTGAAATGGAGGTCTAAGACCCAACCACAAAACCACAATAAAATAGCAGCTCACGCCCGCTGAGCAGCCCCTGTGTTCTGTGCACTTGACCTTGTGTAAGCCTTGCCAGCAAGGCTATGAGGTTGGGACTGTTGATTTTCTTCTGGGACAGATAGGCTGAGGCTGTAAGTGAAGTGGCTTTTTCCCAGGGCACAGCAGTAGAGCTGCGCTCTGTGGGAGTCTGATGAGGGAGCCACCATTCTTAACCAGCTGTCAGGCTTGGCATAGAAGCCCCTGAGGGGTGAGTAAGACCCTCTCCAGGGCCACAGATTCCAACGGCATCTGCACTGTGTGGGGGTGGTGGGGATGCGAATGTTCACTCACTGCTCAAACTCATCTTGTAGCTTTCCAGGAAAGATGTGAGCACAGATTTTAGTGTATTTTTTTTTCTGCCAAAAATATGACTGGGCTGACATTAAACATATATTTTTTTTAAAAATAATTCTCTTTCAAGAAAAAGTAAAATAGCTGCTTCTAATTTTTGTTTTAAACAGAAAAAGTTTTAATAGCCCTCATCTTTTTTGACAATAACAAGAAAAATGTAAAGTGCTTCTTTCTCTCCTCTCCAACCTTGACGGCATCGCCATCTGCTTTTGCTCCACGGTGGAGTGTGTGGACCCTGTTTCTGACCAGTGAGCTCGGAAGTGGGAATTGGTTAATTCATTGGTTTGGTTACACCTGGGACAACTTTGCGGGTGGGAGGGCAGATAGCGAAGTGTGCAGTATCAATTTACGCTCTTCCAGGGGCACAGCGGGGCAGTGGGGCCAGGCGAAGGCCGGGCCTGATGGCAGCCTTGCACTCAGGTGCTGGGCTGGGGAATTCTGATGCTAGGACCTCCTTCCCCATTTCCCGAAGTCACCCTCTCATTCAGTGGCATTCAGTCCCTGCCTGTGCCAAACCTCTGCAGCTCTTACAAAGCGAATCGCAGCCCCAGCCCCGCCCTGGAGAACAAGCTCTCCGGGTGCCACAGAGAAAAATCTGCCGCAGAGGAAAGGCTCAGGCTGAGGGGAGCAGGAAGGGCCATCTGTCACAGGGACAGGCCAGAGAGGCCCAAAGGTCTGTGGACTAGGGGGAAAAAAGCAGCCTTGCTCGGAGCTCCTGACTACGGAGAAGTGACCAGGCAGATGCTTGGATGCTGGGGCCAGCCTGCCTCGGTTGGAATCCCGACTTAACTACTCTCTGTCTTCGAGCAAGTTTCTTAACCTTCCTGGACTTTATTATCCTTATCTGCAAAGTAAGAATAACGTATATGTACCTATTTCATAGGGTTGTTATGAAGGTTAAATGGATATTAAATGAGATCATCCTCAAAGCTGGCACCTCATAAGAAATGACACATATTAGCTGATATCATTATTGTCATCATTCTTTTGGGTTGAATTACGCCCTCCTCCCAAAAGCTGTTGAAGTCTGAGCCCCTAGCACCTGTGAACATGACCTCATTTGGAAATGGGCCTTTGTCGTGGACATGGACAGCAGTGTGGGGGTTGACTATGGGAGTGGGGGGCGGGCTCAGTGAAGGGGTGCAAAGGGGGGAAACCTGGGACAACTATAAGAGCATAAATAAAAAAATATTTAAATTTAAAAAAAGAAAGAAATGGGTCTCTGTAGATGCTTAAATTAAGATGAGGTCGTTGGGATGATTATGTGACCATGTCCTAATGAAAAGGGGAAATCTGGACACAGAGACAGACAGAGAGGAAAGACAATGTGAAACACGAGGACGCTACGAGGGAAGCATGGAACAGTCTCCCTTAGAACCTTTAGGAAAAAAACAGTCATGCCAACAACACCCTGACCTTGGACTTCGGGCCCCCTGAACTATGAAACGGTAAATTTCTGCTATTTAATTAATATCATTATCATCATCATTATCATCTACAGTAGCATTTACCTCTTGATGTACCTTCTCATGCTCCCGGAAGGAGGGAGAAACATCTACACCAAGGTCAAAGTACTGGATCACAAAGCAACAATATAATCAAATTCAATTCAGCAGCAAGGAGGTAGCTGGGATGGGCCATTCTCAGCGCCCACTGGCTACAGTTTCAGCAGACAAAGCCCCGCTGTCCCACAGGTCATCCTCCACCCAGGATACCAGCTTCCAGTGGCACCAAGCTGCTGCCTTCCGCCTTTTTCTCCACAGTGCCCGCTCCAGGTCTACCCCCAGAGAAATTTGTTGCATTTTATTTCTCGTCCTCTAATAACCTGAGCTTCGCTTCCCTAATTGTCTGCGGTGTGTTTGCCTCTCCTGTCGTTAGGTGATCGTGCTGTCCACGCGACTCCTGAAGCCACAGAACATCCCTGAGCTGTTATTTGCAACTGATCGGCTGCATCCAGACCTTGGCTTCTGAGCGCCTCCTAAGAAGACAAGATCTATCCTAGAAGGACACACCAATACTATTACCTGCCACCATTCCAGATATGCCTCCAAATCTAGTGTCCCTGGTACCAAGTGTTGGTATGACTGAATTTTGTCTGACGGGTCCTGAGAACCATGCAGTGAAGTGGTTTGGTTGGATTCTTTTGATTTTTTTTTTTTTTAAATTACTTTCCTTCCCCTAAAGGTGTCAACTGCCTTTCAGCTGGCCTAATTCATAATAATTCCCATTTATTCTTAATCCTCTATTTGTGATCTTCCTGATTCCACCTGCAAGTTCAATAATTCTAAAATAAATGCCTGTTGGGGAGTGTTGGTAGATTATAAGCCCTTTGATCTGCAGTTGCTCGAAAAGAAGTTAGACATGCTTTAGAATTATAAATGTGAGGAAAGTTTGTTTTTTTTTCTTAAGATTACATTACTGAGGAGGGAACATTGCAAATAGGATCTGAGGCTTTGTTTCTCTCTTGATCTGAGACATTTTTGAGAAGGGGAGGAAGGGAGAGGGAACAGGCTGGGGCCGCTCGGGTTGTAAATGGGCCCACGGTGACAAAGGGCTGCATTGTTCCCGCCTGCGCCCTGGCTGGGCCGCCAGCCTCTGTGCAGCCACTGGGGTGGGGGGGGCGGGGAGGCTGAGTGGGGGACTGTCTCTGCCGGCAAAACGTCCCCTCCCCTCCCCAAGGAAGGCCCCAGTGAAGATATCTGGTCCCAGGGAATCTACATGTGAACCCTAACCCCTGTGACGTTTGTGATTTAGTTCCTATTGAAATATAAAGCTCTCTTTTCTGTAAGTCTAAGTATTTTTTCTGGCCATTGCAGAAAAACCTAGACCCACCTAGTGAAATTATATAAGAACTCCGGCAAAAATTAACCCAGACATATATTGGTGTGTGGTTGATGGGAATTTCTAGCATCTCTAAAATGTGTTTGTAATAAAGAGAGAAAGCTGAAACAGTGTCTAGTGTGGATTAAACAGGTAGAGGAAATAAAATGTAAATTGAAGCATGTGTCTTCGTTGTCAACGAAATGCTGTCATTTTATGAAAAAACTGTGAAGCTAAAAATCAGTCTGAGACGTAATCAAAGCAGGTTTAATAGACACTGACACTGTCTTTGTTCAAGTATGTTTTCCACCTCACACCAGTTCTTTTATGGTGCTCAGTGTTGGACACATCAGATGCTTCTTTCATTTTGCTAACCTGGAAGTTTGAATTTAAATAAGAAAATGGCAGCACCCCCCAAAAAAATGACAAAGAGGAAATCACTATTTTCTAAAATAAATAAAGAAAAAAAAGTAACCTACTATGTGTCTCAAATCTTCATTCATTCATTCGGTCAGTCATTCCATTCATTCCCAAATATCGCGTGAGCACCCGGCACGGTCCGGGCACTCTGCTGGGCTCCGGCTGAGGTGGTGAACCGAGCCAGATGCATCCGTGACTCTGCGGCTCTCATGACTGAGCGGCTGGTGCCTCTCCTGATGATCACGCCCTGTGTGAGTGTCTGCTCAAGGTTAAATTTTAAACCATATGTCTATCTGCAAAGGAAACTTTTTGAAAATGTAAAAACCAAACTGCTAACAAGTGGCTACCTCCGGGAAGGAATATAGAATGAGGGGGCTAAGAGAAGGGAGGAGTCTTGCTCCTTTGTTTTTTTATACGTTCAAATATTTATTCTTACTTAATAATTGTTTATTTACAGCCTGCTCATAATCCTATTGTTTGAGTTTTTGTTTTGATAAAAAAATTTGTCTACTTTTTGCAGTATAATTTACATACAATGAAAATGGTCTTGTTTGAAAGATGCAGGTCAGTGATTTTTTTTTTTTTTTGAAAGACTTTATTTATTTATTTTTAGGGAGAGGGAATGGGAAAGAGAGAAGGAGAGAAACATGGGCCAGAGAAACATTGATCAGTTGCCTCCCACATGGTCCCCAACCCAGAATCTGGTCTGAAACCCAGGCATGTGCCCCAACCGGGAATCCAACCTGCAACCTTCCGGTTCACAGGCCAGGGCTCAAGCCGCTGAACCACACCCGTGGGGGCTCAATGAGTTTTAATAAATGTGTATGCCATGTAACTGTCACCGCAATCAAGAAATAGAACATTTGCACCCCCTCTGAAGATTCCCTTGTGTCCCTTTACAGCCTCTTTTCCTCATCTACCTCCAGCCCCAGGCAAATACTGATTTGCTTTCTGAAAGTATAAATTAGCTTTGCCTTTTTTAGAATTGCATAAAAGTAGAACGAGTTTGTACTCTTCTATGTGGCTTCTTTCACTCAGTAAAATGTTTCTAAGATTCATCCATGTTGTTGTATATCAGTAATTTTCTCCTTTGTTTCTTTTTACTAATGAATGGCGTTCTGTTGTACAGATATATGACAGTTTGTTTGTCCATTTACCTCTTGAACATTTGGCTTGTTTCCAGGTTTGAGCTATTATGAACCAAGCTGCCGTGAACATTGGGGGTCTTGTTCCTGAAGTACTTCTGTATTGTTTGGATTTTTTTTTTCACAGCCAACATGTATTTTTGTATTAATTTTGTGGCTTTAATGTATTTTTGCAACTTAATTGTTTTCTTTTAAAGAGAACATTTAAAAGTTGCTAATCTGAGATGATAAAAGGTGGAAGTTCCTGACTGTAAATGTTATCGCTGAGCAGTTTATCCCAGTACTGCTCTCAAAACTATGTTAAATATGGCCAAAGGCAGTCTCTGCGGGGTGGAGAGAAATTTCAGAACTTGGGTTTATAATCATTTTTTCCCCTCTCTGCGGTCACTGGTTAGAGCAGCTGAGCGAGGCAGGCAATCAGCTAGGAGAAGGCTTTGGAGAAAAGGTGAGAAAGAAGGGGTTTCCGTGACCCGAGTTTGGTTGGAATAAGAAGGCACAGGGCAGAGCTCCTTTTAACTGCTTCTTAAGTTAAACTCAGGAACCTAATGGAAACTTGGTATCAATCCTGCCAAGAGCCTCCACCAGACAAGGATGAAGAGGGGGCTCTGGAAACGGCACGTTGGCCAGCAGAGCCTCCCCCAGCCTTCTCCATCCAGCTCGTTGCCCGAGGCCGAGAGAGGTCTGGGGAGAGGGATCCTGCTCTTGGCCCCTGTGAAGGAGCGTAGGTTAGACCTGAGCTCCCAAGTCTTCTCTGGGTTTGAGTCTCAGCTCTGCAGCTCTCAACAGTGTGGATCTCTCCAAGCCTCAGTGCCTCCACCTGTAAAATCCAGGTAATGATATACCTGCCTCATGAGAGGGCGGCTGCAGCAGGGCCTCTTGCAGCCCGGGATGGCTATGAATGCAGCCCAACACAAAATCATAAATTTACATAAAACCATTTTTTCACTCATCAGTTTTCGTTAGTGTTTGTGTATTTAACGTATGGCCCAAAACAACTCTTCTTCTTCTAGTGTGGCCCAGAGATGCCAAAAGGTTGGACACCCCCTGCCAGTGTCGAGGGAAGCCGCCCCTAACACAGCAGCCAGCATGTAACACCAAGGAATGTGGGTATTTTCTGCTGAGGAAACCAAGGAAGATACCTCAGAAAAATGATGAAGTCTTGACAGGAGAATGGTGAAGAGAAAATTCGAGGCATCCCTGGGATCCACAGGTGAGGAAATGGAGGACCAGCACCTTGGCTCCACATACTTCCAAGACCGCAGAGCCCAGCGACCAGGGGCAGGGCCTGCAGCCTGACCCCCTGGCGTGAGTTCCAATCCCACATCTTCCACACAGTAGTTCACTTCTCCCGGTCTCAGTTGACTATGAAATTGAACAATGACCGGACCTACTGCATTGGGTTGTTGTGAGAATCAAAAGAAGTAAACTTGTAAAGAACATGGAACACAGCAAGCTGGCTGAGTCACCACTATTGTAGTAAATGTCTAATGCTTGCTCACGCAGGGCCTTTGTCTCTAATGCAGTAGAACTGTCTCCATCGTTAATGTCAGCCACAAAATAAACATGTGGATCCTGAGACTAACACCTGAACTAGCATTTGAAATTTATCCAAACGTACCAGTTCAAGGGATTCTCCACCTCCCAGATGTCTGCTTCAGGTGGCTTCAAAAGCCGAGCTGAGTGGTAACGCTGGTTTTCTCTTTCTGGGCCTGAGTCCGAGGGTTTACCCCCTACACCGTGGCTGGCCTGAGCCAAGACAAGCACATACAAATACAAACCTCTGCCAAGGACCTACAGGCCACTCTCTAAAAACAATTCGTAGAGGTGTAAATACTCTGTAGCAATTGACTTCTGACTTTGTAAACTCTCCTTCTGAAGTCCACTTTCTCAGCAAACAAAGTGGGCCCAGCAAAGTGCCAGGACGTGCAGGGGGCTACTTCAGCCGAGGGTTGTTAGCAGAGCCCAGGGCCTGTGGAAACGGCTCTGTCCACGCCAGGGCCCCCTCCATTTCAGCGTCATCCCAATAGCACCAAATTCCGTCAAGCTTCCCCCATGGCCACTGTTATTTATTTTACACGGATGACCTGAAACAGAATCTCAACAACAAATAATCCAGTATTACAAGGGCTGTTTGCTGTCCCTGCTCAAGAAACATTGAGAAACTCCATCTCTATTTTAAAGGGAGTTTTAAAAGACAAAGAGATGATGGAGGGTATTTGAGAAGGGAGCACAGGATCTCACCACGATCAGTAATCAACTTAATCCTGTTCTCTTCTCACCAAGTCAGGAGAGTCATGAGAACAGGAAGAACTTTCTGGAAGCTTCTGTCTTTAGACTGTAAAGGGAGTTCAGAAAACACCTATGTACCTGGGTTGTTTATAATAAGTAAATGAATAAATAAAGCCCTTCAGGTTTTAGTTGGGCCATTTCGAGAGCCCTGTTGACTTAACAGGCAGACTCTGGGGCAGCCCCCCTGTCCCCTCCTGTCCCCAGGTAGGACCAAGAGTTAGTGACCCATCCACTCACTTTTAAGGGAGTTGCGACAAGCTTGTTCATTTGTCCAGAAAAAACATTGGTTTTCTCCCTCTTTGGAATGTAAGGTGAATGTTGAAACCCCATATTTCACCAGAATGAAGGGCTCACTGTAGATGCCCCCATAGCTGGGGGCTGGCCGGGTGGCCGTTGGGCTGGACATGCAAATGCCAGTGGGCAAGGGGCCAGCAGGGCCGAGAAGAGTTAGCCGGCTCCGCACTGCGCGCCATGCGGGGCAGGCTACAAAGTGTTGGGAATGTTTTTGATTTGCAGCAGGGAGGAAACTCGAAAGCCAGACATCACGACAGACAAGGATCCGGTTCTGAGGCAGACGGGCTGTGGGCTGGGCCCCGCCCCTGCCTGGATGTCTTTATTACTGAGCTGGGACTGGAGGCCAGTGAGCAGCCGGCTGATGGCAACAGCAGATGTGGCTGTGGCAGCCAGGTGGGCCGTGGGCCAGGGAGGAGCCACAAGCTTCTAGGAGCAACAGAAAGATAGAGAAAAGAAGGACAGGGAACATGGGCCAGGGCAGAGAGGGCCGGTGTGTGGAAGACAAAGCAGAGCACTCCAGGGGGGGCGTTGTTTAAAGGAGCAGAGCTGGGAAGCTGCGAGCCAACTGCCTGGGTCTAGGCTGTGGCATGAGAGACAGACGCGAGGTCAAGTCCTGACCCTGCGGCTTAGAGCCCGGAACAGCTGCTGAATTCTCCTGAGCCTCCCTTGCCTGTATCTGTAGAGGAGCCAACGATGGATTGTGGGGTTGGTGTGGAGAAACCCTCCACACAGTGCCTGGCAGCTGGGTTTTCAATACATGGAAACAGTAATTGGTACTACCTGTGTGGCCCTCAGCAGGCTGTTTAACCTTTTGGGGCCTCAATTTTCTCATCTTTACAATCAAATGCTTCCCTCACAGGACTCTGCAGAAGATTAAAGGACATGACATAATCTGGCACTCCGTACGTGCGCAATAAATTCGAATCCTTTCCTTTCTGCGCTCCCCTGCTTCCCCACCCCGCCCAACCCCCTACACACACACCTTCCCCTCTCCTTCCCCAGGTGGCAAAGCAGGGGTTCCCCTATGGAGGTAGCGGGGTCCTCGGTGCTGTTTGGCTGTGGTTCACAGTTTGAATGCTCACTGTGTGCCACAGGAAGGCCAGCAGAACACAGCCTTGGCGTCAAAGCTGCATCTAAATCCACACTCAGCCATTTTCTGGCCATGGGGGTTTTGGCCAGCTGTGTATACTTTGTGGCCTTCAGTTGACTTTTCCATAAAATGAGAGAAATGATACCCACCGATAGTCCGTTTTAAGAATTATGTCTATGCCTATAGTAAAGGACCAATTAAAGGACTCTTAACAATAAAGAAAAAAAGAAATTTAAAAAAAGACAAACAGGGTTTAAGAGATATCATACTAATAATGAGAGGAGCAAAGGTAATAAAACATGAAGCTAAAATTTATGAGATAGGTCCGCTTGGGTGGTTTCTAGCTCACTTGCTCTCTCCCTCGCCTTGAAGAAGCCACTCTGTTCCCCTCAGAGCTGTCAGGCCCCTTCCAGCCCACACTGGCCCCAGGCAACCTTGTTTCTCAAAGAGCTATTTACAAAGATAACACGATGACTACAGAGCTGAAAATTAAAAATATTTAGAATTAACATCACTACACTGTTATCTGCACTGATGGAAATGCCTTCCTTCTGTTGGCATAGTTGTTCCCCTTCCCTTTCTCATACCCATTTTCTTTGTCTCCTCACTGGAACATTGATTCCTGAATAGCTCAAATACCTGTTTGCCTTTCAATGTAAAAGGCATTCTTATTTTTAAGTTTACGATTTATTCCGAAGACATTGTTTCAGCTTCTTTGTGTGAACTTGAGGATATCACCCCAAACTCAGAGCCTGTTTCTCTCATCTGTAAAATAGTACTTCCTCCTGCACGCTCCTCCCAGGGTTCTCTGGAGGAATGAATGAGATTAGGTGTGTGAAAGCACTACTCAGATATAAGGTGTAACTATTTGTCCATGAAGAGGGCGACTCAGCCCACATGAAAGGTCTCTCTGGCCCAGATGGACACAGATGAATGGCCTGGCAGTTTCAGCACATGCTCTTGTGGCAGGAGCCACAAGGGAGAGGCTCCTGAATGACCCTGGTCAATGCTCCAAGCTTCAACGAGAACAGAGTACTTTCTGAACGCAGCATACCCAGAAGGGATTTGCCAAATCAAGCATGTATGGAGAGGCAGTACTCTTGTGTTGAAGCATCAGTATCTTCAAGGCTTAGTGGAGATGTCTTCACAGTCTAAGGCACATAGCCAGACCTGTCTGGTTTACCTGGAGGGTCATGAAGCAAATGAAGAGGAGATACACTCTTTTTTAGTATAAAGTGGCAGCCAAACTAGTTTACAACACTCACAGGCTGTGGCCTTTGACAAGATTTTTAACTTGTTTGTAAGCCTGTTTCCTCATCTGCAAAGTGAGAGTATCAGCACAATGCACCTCTTTGGTTGGGACATTTGAGAGATAACCCTTGGAAGGTGTAATGCCCAACCCAACATACCAAAGGTACTGAGTAATTCTTTGAAGGACAAAAAGTGAGCATTTCAAAAAAGACCAAGTCAGACATCTGCTCTTTTAAAAATGAGATTTATTGTACATAAAATAAATTAATTACAATTTAAGCCAAAGCATGAGTGGCTTTTTAAAGTGCATCTGTGTAGGGGATTTGTGCATCTGTTCACTCGATGTAAGATAGTGTTTTCGTATTTAAGCCATGACTCAACCAGGCCTGGGGAGCAGCCCAAGGTCATTGGCATGCGCCATTTACACAAATCACACCAAATTCAATGGACACATTTCTTTTCCTGTACCTGATGCAACAGTTTTTTGTTTTGCTTTGTTTTCTAATTATACAGTCTCATAACTACTCCGAGTCTAGCACTGAAGAGTTTGAGTTGTCAACCACTCAACCTAAGCCCAACTAAGCAGCCACCACCATGTCAGGCCATATAAATGTATAGATGTCTGGGTACACAGCCTTTTGGCCCATAAACACCACCCTTTTGGGGGGAATGAGGAAGTACTTTCCTCTTTGTTCTTTAAAAAAGAAATCTGGGTGCCCTTCAGGTTAGAAAGGCATTCTATAAGAAATAATGTTCCAGAGATGTAAATCATCCTTGTAAGAGAAAAGCAATTCTTCCTTTGGGAGGGTAGGTGGGAGAAGGAAAATAAAGGAAAAAGATAAAAATAAAAAAGAAAGCCTTTGAAAGCTTAATTTGTTCTTTCATTCCCACTGTAAATCACATCAATATATTTGGTGAAACTACAGCTGACCATCATTTACAAGGTAGTTAAGGACAAAATCCAAAGCAAGTGTGCCCCCTCCCCCTCCACAGGAAAAGACATGGAGTACATTTCACATATTCACAGAGTGGCTCAGTGGGCTCATTCAAGCCTTATCAGTTCTGTCCCCCTGCTCAGAACAACACTTTCTTTTCCACACCAGTTCCACAGGCCCCCCGGCCTCCCTGCTCCAGCCCCATTTGGAACCATGAATTACTGCCAGCATTCAATGCTCCTGCACTGGCAGAGCCTCCGACTCTCTTCCTGGGAAGACCAAACCCCCTGGAGGGCCTCTGCTTCAGACAGAGGTGACAGTCCTCACTTTGGCAGAAAGGGCCTGCTTGAACCTCCTCTTCAGGTCCTGCATGTTGGGGGACTTGGGCCTGGGGATGAGGGAGGTTCTCCGCTTCTCTGGCGTGCTGCTCGGTGGCTGTTTGTGGCTCACTTCTTTGCACAGGACATGGAAAGCGTTGTAGACGTCGTTGTAATTTTCGCTGACGGACACTTCATAGAACGAGCAGCCCAGCATGCCGGCCAGCTGGAGTCCAAGCTGAGGGTCCACCTGTTTCACGTGCAACAGGTCAGCTTTGTTGGCCACGACCACGACAGGAAGCCGAGTGCCCAAGTGTAGCTGCTGGACGTGATGGTGGAGCTGGCCAATGAGTTCATAGCTCTTGTGGTCGGTGATGGAGAAAACGATCACCACAGCATCTGCCCAGCGAATACACCTATTCAGCTGTTCGTTGCAGCTCAAGCCATTCTCATGGACCTGAAAGAGAGGGGCAATGGCCAGGTGAGCGGCGAGTGCAGAAAAAGAGACCTGGCGTGGCTGGATAGAGAATTCAAAAGAGCCCTTTACAGTAATGCCAGGTCGCAGGCCGGAAACAAGTTATATCCCCACACACTTCAGCTTTCTTGACAATATGTTGATCCAGCTGCACAGTGTTGGAATAAATAACAGTGCAGCTCACCACACTCAAGTGGAAAATTGACCTGCAGAGAACTCCATGCAGAGAGACTTTGTAGTTGCATAAAATGGGAAATTAACTGGCTAGACAGTAAGTCTGGGGAAGTAAAGATAGGAGCTGGAAGCATTTAAACCTGGATAACTGCCCAGTTCAAGAGGGAAACACACACACACACACACACACATACACACACACACACAAGCATGGCTCTTTTGTCTATAGAGTAACTTTCCACAATAAAAAGTGATTCCAAGTATTTGGAGACTATACATGGTTGTTTGATTTTTTAATGGCAAACACAAATGTAAAAGGGTGATCTTTTCAACCATAGCGAGGAAACTTTGCCAATTCCAAGTGTGTTTGATTTGGTCTTTCCTGCTGGGCAGAATCCTCCTAAGGGAAGATTTCTGCCCCTCAGCCAAATCTCCCAAATTAAGTTAGGTTAAGGCTGACCAACAGCCAGATACAACTGAAGTGTCAAACATGTAAAAGCCTCGACTTGACTCCCCAAGTTTCTCTCCTCCCGCACCAGGAGGTACTTTGAGAACTGAACAGTTCTATAGCCACGCAGGCTCCCCATTGACTTAGTCACATATTTCACAACTTCTTACCTGAATGCCTGGAGTGTCTTGAACTTGAATAGCCAGAGTTTCACCTTCTATTTGGACTTGTCTGGTGTAGAGATTACCTACAAAGGCAAAAACAAAAACAAAAACAAAAAACCCCAAAACCATTATGTTCATCCTTCTTGTACAACTTTGAAAACATTGTGGGATTTTTTTTTTTTTAACTTACAAAGAAAATATAGCCTGAACCAATGCACAAAAATAAGCTATAGTTTATCCTGGATAATCGACTTAATTCAGATTTTTTGGAAACAACTGTAATTTTAACTCCACATTAGTGAATTTATTAAAACCAAGGCAAAGTCTGCAAGTTTTTGGATGCTGATTTGTCTAATTTTAAACAGAGCTTCCATATCTAGAGTATTTCCTTAAAACAAATTTTATCACTCAGCATGTGTGGGATTTCTATTTTATTTTACTACTCTATCACTCTTTGACATATATTTGTATTTCAGCTCTTAGCTACAATGGCTTGTTCGGCCAACATTACCAACTGAAATAAAAATGTGACGTAACGATAGCCAACCCCACATCAAAGCAGAAGGCTGCCATGCCTTATCGTAGGATGGTTTATACAGCGCATTTCAAATAATCCCCTGTAGGTACTTCATACGGTCTAAGGAATGAAACAATTTGCTAACAGAACATAGGTTGAAAGCCCTTAAGCCTCCCCAATGGCTAGTCTTAATCACAGGGATTGAAAGAGTGTCCTCTTATTTATTCAAGAACTCTCCTAAAATTCTCCTCATTTCTCTTTGTTAAGAAAAGAGAACTTTAGGTTTACAACTGCTCTCCTTTGGCCTTTGCTTTAAAAGGTCACCTCTGAAAGGCAGCCAGCAGAGAGGGATAGGGGTCGGGGGAGGAGCTGACCATCTTTTTTTTTCTTTTTTTATGACTTTTGCAGGAGTGTTTTGAAGGGAGAGGCTCTTCAGAACAAAGGGTGCTTCCAACTGGGGTCCCCATAGTTAAAACATACCAAGGGGAATACTTTCAGGCACTTGATAAAATGATGAATGGGCTTGGAATGGAATGAGGCCAGATGGCAGTTATGGGGGGCGGGGGGAGCATGGGAGGGGGCAAAGTTGGATGTGGCAAGATCCTGATGCTGACTGTCACTCTGAAGGAGCCTGTCTGGGAGACACTGAAAAATGAGAACAGCAGTACTGGTGCAGGCCAGTGGTATTTTCCTCAAATTTATTTCCTCACCTGCATTTCTTTCGTAGTCACCAATGAATCGTTTGGTGAGGAACCGCACCACCAGAGCTACAGGTCAGAAAAGAGAAAGGAAAAGTGGCTTAGATTGATCCTCACCCAACCCCCAGTCTGGAAAACAACTCTCCCAGAGAAAGCCAGCCAGCCACCAAGTGAAATTCCTACCCTCCCAGCTCCTTGACCCTTCTTCCAGACACACGGACGGGGGCTAGAAGGTACGGTGAATTATGGCTCTGTCCAGCTGCAAGGGTCATTCGGTTCACCCCCTCCTCTGAGCCCGGCTGAGCCACACCTAAGCCTTCCAGCAGACAAATGTCTTTCTAACCTTAAAGACCTCCAGGAGGAGTTACGTTCGCTAAGTGCCTTTTGGGGTTAGGCACTGCCCGAGGCTCTAATTTTTTATCTCGGTTGTGCCGGTGGTGCGGGGACGGTCGCCTGGCCTTTCAGGATCCCAGTTTCCCTCATTTGTTGAAGGAGGGGGTTAGAAGAGATGCTGTTTAGGGTCCCTCCGGAGGGGCAGCAGCAGCTCTCACATCTCCCCTGCCTCGCTTATCCGCGATACCCAGCGGGGGCCGCCCACGTCCAGCCCCGAATATTAGCAGGTTCTCGCCCGAGTACGGAGACTCACCGGTCTTGCCCACGCCGCTGGCCCCCACCACAGCGATCTTGACTAGCCGGCGGCCCGCCGCCCCCAGGCAATAATCGGCAGCGGCGGCGCTGCTCGGAGCCGGGTACTCCGCGATGGTGCACATGTTCTGAATGAGGCGCATCGCCGCTCCGGCTGGGCTGCTCCGCGCGGGACGGGGAGAGGCTTGCGCTGCGCCGGAGGGAGCGGGAGGACCCGGCAGAGGGTCTCCGCCGTAGGAAAGAAGAACCCAAAACAACAAAAAGAGCACTGGACTGGGCACGGCGTAGAGCTCGAGCGGGCTCAGACTCTCGGCTGGGACTGCACCCGGGCTGCGCGCGCTGTTTTCTCCGGGGTCGACCCCGCCCCCTGCCTCCCGAGGCCAATCCCCGGGCGCCCTGCACGAGGCCCCGCCCCCAGCGCCGAGCCCCTAGGGGCGCCGGGAGCCTGTGCGGGGCCCCGTGAGGCGCGGGTAAAGTGGAGCAGGGAGCCCGAGGGAAGCAACGTGTGGGCCAGAGCCCACGGCTCAACCAATGGCGGGCACCGGGGAGGGCAGCGCTGGGCGCCGGCAGGGGTCCTGCTGTGCCCGCACGGGGCAGACGCTGTGGCTGAGGGACTGGGGACGCCTCGGGTGCTGGGAAGCGCGTGCTGGGAAGCGGGGCTCCTCAGAGCGATTCACGGGCATCTGCCCCGGCTACGGTGCACAGCCTACCCGTCCAACAACTCCCTGGAGCCAACTGATCTCTCGACCCCCAAACCACCACCCACCACGCTCTGGGAACCTGCGTCGGGAGGAGGGGGCCTCGTGGGTGTGAGAGTTTGGGGTCTGGGAGCCCGTCCTGCTGCCAGGCATCATGCATCTCATTAATTTGGGGAGTGATTGCTCTAATTGGAGTGCATCTGGGGTGGCATCCCGTATCATAGATTTGGCTACGATGGCAATCAGTAACAAAGATCCCATAACCACTCTCCTAAAATATGACTTTTGACTTTGGGGCAAAATAATGCCGCCCATTTGTCCGTAGACCCACATTCTCTGGCTCTTGTCGGCAGGGCGGCGGGTCACTCACCCTCTGACAAGCTCACGCGAACACACAGGCGGTACAGCACTCCCAGAGGCAAATCAAGGAGTAATTATAGAACAAGCTTTCTAGCGCCTCGCTTACAGTCACACCTCCAACAAGAGTCGGAAAATGGAAAGAAACAGATAACCCAGGTGTGTCTGGATACCGACCGCGTCGGAACACAGAAACTGGAAAGGGTCTGCACTACCTCTCTGGTCATAAGGAAGAGCAAGGTTAGTAAAGTGACTTGATGCCGAGGAAGATGTGTGCCTGTACTCAAAAAATTCCAAGCTCCAGGGAAAGCCATCTTTAATAGTAAGCTACGTTCCCCAGCTAAGCAATATTCTGTAGCTGGACCTGATTGCAAAATGTCACCAGACACTCAGACCGAGCACCTCCCTCCCATCCCCTCTCCTCTCCACCCTTCCAACTCCGTGGGCCCCCCAAGTGTTCCAGAGGCTTTATTCTAAGGACAAACACTATAGCGTTGTACACACAGCCATACTAAAGGCTGAAATGTAAAAGTATAAGCCAGTTCTCTCATCTACACATCAAGCATTTAGTTTGATTCCCTCTTCCACCCTGAGCTTAACTGACCAGGTGCTTGATGGAATTTGTGACGCTGACCCAATTCAGACTGAGGTGAATCCTCTTTCCTGTCTCAGGTTAGGTGTTCTCAGGAACTCAGGATGGAGGAAAGGTAATCACAAACTGCCTTGGTAGCAAGTATGCTAGCAGGGGCAACATAATTGGCAAGACACACAACCTTCGCAATAAGTATAATACAAGGTCAGCTTCGATGGAGCATTTATTTCAGGAATGAAATAAATTCAGCCATTTGAGTAAGGAGGGAAAAAAATGAGCATTTAGAATATGTACCATGTCTTTCTGCATGGTTTAAGTCTAATTTTAATTTTGATGTGCTATAAAATCAAATGTAGCAAGACTATAATTACAGGTAACCATGTACTTTTTAAACCCCTTCCCCCAAAAGCCTGTAATTCTATTATGCTTACATGGTGAAATAATTGTGTAGTCTAAAGTTTTTATTTAAAAGCTTTTTACATACACACATACACACACACACACACACACACACACATTCGCAGACAGACATGACAAAAGTTGTCAAGGGGAATTTTGCTTTGACTCTAAAATGCTTCTGGGGCTGGATTTTTATTACCAAGAGCCTGTACCAAGCCTATGATTTTTCTGTCTGAAACACAAAGGCTGAATTTGGTATTCTTATTTTAGGTCTAAATGATCTGTCTGTGCTTTAAAGAACACAGAAAAGGAAGAAACAAGAGAAAGATGGAGAAAAGAAAGGGGAGCTCTTCAAATTCCAAACATCCAGCAAATAGCCCACCTCCACCTTATCCTACCTTCAAGTGGTGACAGTGAGTTACCCCTTCTTGGAAGTTCACTAAATTAATAAAAGGAAGGGGAAGGGGCAGGAGAATTGATGTATGTGGAAGGGTGGTTTGATTCCAGGCTGTGGGCTAGGGATTTAGTATTAAAAAATGTCATTTTGCCTTCACGACAGTCCTGTAAGGTAGGTATCATTATTTCCAGCTGCATTATCTATTGCTGCTTCGTAAAGCGCCCTGCACCTCCATGGCTCACACTCCCGTGGGTTGACTGTGCTCAGTGGGGTAGTTCTTGTTTGCAGCGTCTCACGTTGTTGCAGTCAGGTAGCCGCTGGGGCTGGAGTCATCCGAAGCCTCGTCTGGGCTGGACATCCAAGACGGCTTCCTCACTCCCACGTCTGCCTTTCAGCTGGAATGCCAGGGTAGCTGGGACTAGCCAGCGTCTCTCTCTGTGCAGCCTCTTCATGGGGTAGCTCAGGCTCCTTGATGGCACTGTGTGGCTTCGCTTAGAGTGCGTTTTCTAAGACAAAAATTGAAAGCTGCCAATCTTTTAAGGCTCCTGCATGGAAGTTGGCATAGCATCACTCCTGCTATGTACTATTGGTCAAACAGTCACAGAGGTCAAATTAAAAGGCAAGTGGCAGAGACATAGGTCACACCGTCAGATATGAACAGTGTCAAAGAATTTGTGGCCATCTGTAATTCACTCTATTTTATAAATGAGAAAACAAAGTCTCAGGTTAAAAATTCCTCCAAGGTCAAATATCCTATAAGGGATAGAACCAAAATCTGAAAAGGATAAATAACATAGAAAATAGCCACAATGTTCACAGTGAAATGGTCTCCTATTATACAGTGCTACAAAGTGGTTTGAACTGCTGTCTGTCCCCGCTTTTGTTGTTCAAGCTAAAAAAAATAAATGGGGTTGGGGAACCAAAGTATGACAAACTTGGGAAAGAAGGAAATATTTTGCTAACTTCTGATTTTTCCTTAGCACCAGAGTTTCTATCACCCCCTTTGATCTTTATAGCTGATCTTAGATCCAAGAGCTTCCAGAGATAATCCCATTTCTGGAATTCCTTTGTATACTAGAATATAAATTCAATAAATATTTATGGAATGTCTGAGCCATGGGTGTACCAGGCACTACGCTAGGTCCCGAGTCCACGTTGGCAAACAAGACAGACTTTGCCACTACTGCAGTTAACATGTAGCATGGGAGGCAGAGAAATAAATGAGCAATTTCAATACAGTGTGAGGAAATACTTTGATAGAGGAAATTCAGGATCTATAGAATTACGTAGTAGGACTAAAAACCTGGATTGTGGGAGTTAAGGAAGAATGTGTAAAAGTTTGAGTGGTCAAAAAGTTTGTCTTCTGTGTATGCGCATTTGTATGTACATGCATGCACACAGACAGTCTGGCAGAAGTAATGCCTGCTTGAGCATGGTTGGTAGGGTATGTGACTGTCTCCCACAAGATGGGCAGCAATTTGAACATGTCACCTAAAATGTCATATGGCATGATTGAGTGTGTTATGGTACAGAACTACATGCTTATGATTTTATAATAAAAGATTTCATAATAAAAAAGGGGCATTATTTGTCCCAGACCCTGTACGTGAGTATGAAGCAGGGCCCTCAAAGAGGTAGAGAGGTGGGTTAGTTTGCAAAGAACATAGCAGTTGCCAGTAGACAGAGTAGGTACTCAGTAAATATTTGTGGACGGTAAATGAAAGCAAAGGCCTCACCTTGAGAGAATGAATTCAAGGAACAGAATAATTCCCAATGAGTGGACAGAGGGAAGAGTCTGGGGATTTCTAAGGAGGGGCACACATATCAATGAAATAAGCCTCAGAAGTTGTATAGTCCTCCCTTCCATGAGATCATGCCCCATGGAAACCAAATGAGCTTCCTTTCTGCCTACATCAACAAGAATTTCTCCCAAATCAGCCCCCTCTGAGCATCAAGGCCTTAGTCAAGGACCAGACTTTTTTTTTTTTTTTTTTAAGACTTTTGTCAGCCCTGCTTGTTTAGGTCTAGTAAGCAGACACATTTCCAGCTATTTAGACAGAAAATTATTTAATTACCTGTATTCAGTATTGTCAGAAGAGTTAGAGTGGTGGGCTGTAGGTTTGGTGTACAGAAATGACTCCCAGAACTGAAAAAGTGGCCCACCCAGGGAGCTGCTACCTCTTCCATAATCAAGAAGATGGAGAATCAGGTCTCCACTGTGCTATTGCTACTGCCTTTTCAGACCTACAAAGGCAGAGACTCAACATGGCCACAAAGGCCAGTGTCTCCACAATGCAGCCTGGCAGCAGAAAGCAATCAAGATACAAAAAGATGGCCTCCTCCCTGCTTCTGCCTTGCAAAACTTATCTGAGCGCATCTAGTTAATGGAGTTAATTTGTATCTGTTATCCTAGCTGCAAAGGAGTCTGGAAAATGTGTTTAGCTTTCTAGTCTCAGCCTTATACGCATAAACACCAGAAATGGAAAGGAAGGCTTCCAGTCAAGATGGAGGTGTAGGTGAACACAGCTAGCCTTCTCATATAACCACAGCAAAATTACAGATATACTACGGAACAACTATCACTCAGAACTGTCAGAAAACCGAACTGTATGGAAGTCTGACAGCGAAGAAGTTAAAAAAAAACACATTCATCCAGACGGAGGAGGGCCAGAGGAGTAGAGACATAGGACAGGCTGGTCCCACACCCTCATGTGGTGATAAAATTGGAGGGATATCTCAGGAATTAGGGATCCCAGCCCAAGATTCCGGTGCCAGGAAGATAAGTCCCCATATAAGTTCTGGCTATAAAAACCAGTGGGGGTTGCGTTGGTGGAAGAAACTCTGGGATTCTCAGGCATCCACTCTTGGA